CAAGAGTTAGAAGGATTCAATCAGAGATCGTAAGCATTTATTTCAGACCAACATAAGGTATTATATCATATATCTTGTTTATATTTGTTAAATAATTTATTTATATCTTATTATAATTCTATTATGTTTGACAAGGATCAGTTCATGCAGTTCAAGGTATTAGTGACTATGTGTAGCAAATATTGTGTGTAAAGTACATGTATGATAATTGGAAGAAAAGAGGTCATGTGGAGAGTTGCAAGAGCTACTACAGTACCATCATGACAATTACTGCAGAAGTATATTGGAGGTATATGTCCTAGAATCTAGTTGATTCTTAAAAAGAATGAAAAAATGGTTGGACTTGAGACTTCACACACAAGAGGAGGTGAATTGTGTGGTTTGAAAAAACTTGAATTTGAAAACTTTTGGCAAGTTAAATCAGAGTTTAAAAACATTTTAAAAGATTAAGCAACGGAAAGCAAATAGCAGAAAGTAAATAGTTAAGGAAAGAAGAAGAACACAAAGAATTATAGAGGTTTGATAAAATCAAAAGGACCCGTTCCTCTCCCTGAGACTTGATCTTGAGAGTTTCCAATAATACTTTGAGAGCTTTTAGTAGCAAATACTCATAAACCCCCTTATACAAGAAAATGATGGTTGACCTTTAACTAAATATTACAAGACGATAGATATGAGCGTTTGCATCTTTTCTTAAATATAATATTGAGAGTGAAATGGAAAATATTCCTTCCCAACAGTAGTCTGAAGTGGTTAATCCCCTTTCCACGAACACAAATCTTGGAGCGGTTAGCTTAAATTTTCAAAATATCTGAGCTTAATTCCTTTGGTTTTAACAGGACAAACCAAATAACCTGTGAGATTTTGAATGGACTAATTTCTAACCTATGAAGAAATTAATAGAAGGCCAATCTTTAAGCTATCTTGATTTTAACCGGGCTAACAAAAAACAAATTAAGATTTTAACAATGGCTAATCTTCAACCTAGGACTCATCACACAATCCCCAACCTAAGCTTTTATTAGGTTAAGCTTTGAACCATAAATAAATCCTAATTGGATAGTATTCAACTAAGGTGTATACAAAATATTTCCTTGATAAATTTTACAATTCTACCCTTTCCAGAATTACATAAGTATCCTCACTCACAAAGGAACTTATCTCACAAAATCATTTGACTATAACATCTAATGAGAGAAAGTTAAAATATAACTTAGAGAGAGTGTGAGATGAACGTGTCAAAACACGATTCTGAATGGTTTGAAATGAGAAAATGAGTCTCTATTTATAGTCAAAAGGTGTGCGCAAAAAGGAATTTACAATCAATAAAATTTCTCGTCATCTAATCGATTATCATTTATTCTAATCGATTAATTTTAATTAAAAAAAAGTTGTTTTAAGTTGCTTAAAAGGAAGAAAAATATATCTAGATGTTGCACATCATTAAGCCGATGTTTAAATGGATTAGGGCATAAATTTGAACTAATCTAATCAATTAAACAAAAGACCCAATTGATTAGATAAGCCAAAAAGTTTCCCTCTAGCTATTTCCACAACTCCTAAGTCATCTGACACAACTCCAAAATATTTTTGAAGATGTTTTCTTTTGGTAAAAACATTTGAAAAAGGTTTTAGTGTGTGCTTATAGCCATCACTTTTACGGAAAAGCCCACTTTCTTACCTAAGTTCACTCACTTACTAATTTAGGAGATTAACTCATTTTCTACAACCCCTTTGTTAGATATTATCTTATATGGTGGCACTACTTGAGATCACTTGAGACTTTAGATAATTTCCACTTTGTTTGCCTTCTTCGGATAGACAAGTTCATCAAACCAAAATATTTAAGTTTGCATCTTTAACCGTTTAAGCATTGTGCTTGACTTATAATTAGTTGTCTTTAATTGTCATCATCAAAAGTCAATGTCTTGATTAAACGTCTATCACCTGCAAAACAATGTTTCACATTCTCCTCATTTTTTATGATGACAATGCATCTCTCAGTGAAAGTGGTAACCAATTGGCATTGAGACTTATTGTGTCGATCTGAAAAAATTAAACATGTTCACATAGAAAGTGGGACTTGATTGGGATGCCACGTGTTGTCGATTTTCCAGCGTATTGTGGCTATTAGGAGAGCATGCATATAGAGAGGAGAGTTTCAGAAAGGCACTTCTGGAAGGGCCACTGTAGAGGCCATGATAGTCAAAGCATGACATGCTTTGCACTGCATGGGGCAGAGGAGGAACGAGGGTCAAATATATCTAGTAGTTGACTTTTTTTGTATTTTGAAAATTTGTATTTTGGGAACAACATATGGTTTGCATTTTGGCTTAATATATGATATTTTGATTGAATTATATAAGTGCATGATTTAATTGAATAACAATTATGTATACTTTGTATAAATGACTTAAAATATAAAATTTATTAAAATATGTCAAATTAATAATAAAATTATTGTCAATGTAAAAAATTATTGTCCTAAAGATAAATACGAAATTTAAGTTAATATTCACTAAATTGTGAAATAAATACATTATCGTGTGTTCAAAATGTATTCAAGTGTTAATTCAAAAATTAATCTACAGACTCACACTTCTATTTAAGGCTAATTTTCATACTATATTTTAACAAAATTAAAATGACTTACAAAATATTTTGGTGTGTATAAGAGACGTCCGAAAATATTTTTTCAAAGATATTTTTAGATTTTCTAAGGGTTGAAGAGCAACCCCAACTTCTTCTTCACTAAACTGTGGCCTACTGAAAGTTCAAAATATTAGCTATTGATTGCTTGAACCGAAGCTTTTTCACACTAGACCCATCAATGGTAACCGATTTAAATTGATGTTCAAAATATTTGAAAACACCGCCAAGACTTCAACAACACCTTAAACTCTAACTGCATTTAAAAAATACACAACATGGAACTACTTATTTTTCTATTAGCCAAAAGATCCCGAAAAACTCAAAATTGACATGTCATCTCACTCCTTCAACCATAAAACTCTAGATTTATGCCACTGAATGCTACAATTCACACGCCGGGCGGGGAAAGGACAGGAACCTCAAGTTATTTTCCACATCACTTTTCAAAAGATTTGTACCATCATTTGAGCTCCAAATGACTCTTCAGAAATCACTGAATGATTATATGGTTTTGATGAATAATCAACACCAACATTTGTAAACGATCACATGTGTTATTTTGCCTTTAAAATACACTCAGATATTAGGATTGACCTATTTTGCTTTAAACAAATCGTCAAGAAACTATTACAACACTAATTTTTTACCCATGATACTAGTATGTGTTTATAAAATAGTTGAACAATCATGAGCTGGGAATGATTGAAGTGCTACCATGACGGTTAGGAGGATATATAATGCAAATATGAAAATTAGGTATATGAAACTAAGGAGGGGAAGAAGAGAAACTATTCGGAAAATAAATAGAGTACCATCTAATATATTGCTGAAATTTAATGGTATAATTGTTTATGGTTTGTAAATCGTTATTACCAAATTATCATTTGAGTATATGTTGCTGACACAAATCAATCCATCTTTGATTTAGAGGATGCGGAATCCAGAAGTTTCATAGCTCAATCTATTTCATACATGCCTTAGGATAAGATGGAACTCAAATGATAAAAAGGGGAATGATATAAATACTCACAAAAATGTAAAAGAACTCTCTTTATATATTTATACTTTCTCTAACTATAAAGATGTAAAGGTATAATCATTAAATAACAGTCATTGTGCCATTGTTCAAATAATTCCAAGCTTTTTTGAGCATCATTTCCAAACATGTTTCTTTAAAATAGTCAAATAAAGGATCAACTTTTCTATAGGGGAAGAACTAAATGAGTTTAAATAGACACTTTTTATGGCTACAAATATAGTTAATTCATGTTTCAAGCAGGGGATGGATGATTCTGACCTGGTCCCTCTTAATAAAAATCAAGACAGAAAAATACAGATAAAGACAACACAAAAATCGATATCAAAAACACAAACCAATACATTCAAATGCATGTAACATTTAAGACATGGGGGACTACCCTAGTAGATATGAAAATGGCAGTAAATTTTAGCCCCACATACTTTCAAATAACTCATTTTCATTCCTAGAAAAATACTAATCTAGATACAATATCAGTTTAAACTTTGAACTTAACTAGTTCTTGAGGAATGATTATACTAGTTTCTAAAAGGTGCTAACATTCCAATTTAACAAATCTAAAGAAAGTAGCAGCAGTAGTTAAATTAATTTGCACTCAAAAAACCAAACTTTATGAAGATTGAAAAAGCAGTAGAACTGATCAGATCATTCATCTTTCCCATGAAAGTACAATGTCCTCAAATATTCATGAGTAGAGTGAAGGGAGGATTAGAAACCTTTTCACACACATGACATGATCAATTATATACATGCCCATGTACATACTTTATCATATTGAAGCATATCACAAAACCTTTATCCCTTCCTCCATCAAATATAAAATCATAACATTTTCCTAAACTTGAGTATACATTTCAGATTCACCAAAAGTTAGCTCATAATAACCACTTTGATTTAAATAGATAAAGTATTGTCATAATACTCAAATAAAGCATCATCAAACTTCAAAAGCATCACGCAAAAAGGCATCTAATTCCTATAAAGCAGATATTTACACCAATAGTAATTCACAATCATGACCCAAAAGCACAATTTGAAAACAAGGAAAAAAACTAATAGCGAAAATTGACATTGCCATAAACATAGACCATTATTGAAGGAAGAACGTTTATGTTGAAGCAACAATCAAATTCACATACAAAAGAAATTAGCTACACCCAACAACATTAAACCTGAAAAATCTAACCCACATATACTAAAAAGTCACATTTAAAGGTGTCAAACAAAAGAATTTTCACCATCATCATCATCATCATCATCATCATAAACATCATCTTCATCATCATCATCACCATCACCACAATCATAATCACTGTACAAGCACAAGTCTACCACCCATACCTCTACCACTATCACCACCATCAACATTCTGCAGATCATGTCCATGCCCCTTCGGCACCGTAACAATCAACTCCCCATCAACAAACACCGCACTCGCAAGCTCCGGCATCGTGGAATCCGGCAACCTAAACCTCCACATATCAATCTCCAACTGATCAAGCGACAACTCCAAAGACTCCCCATCTCTCACAACGATCTTCGTCACACCAGGATGGATCTCCACCGTATGAGTCCTCACCTCCCCGATTCCCTCCGTCTCCGCCACAAACCGGAAACAATCAGCCTCCTCTTCAATCGCAACATCCGCATCTGACCGAAACGGAAGTTCCAATACGCGGCTGAAAACGTGTGGCAGACGCCTTAATTTCTTACCGGAGATTCCTAACAGAGCCTGAGCCTCCGATGCGGGGTTGCTGCCGTTGGTTCCGAATTGGATTGTGATGTTGCGCTTTCGCGGAGCAGGGTGAATCTTCATCGTGTTACCGTTTAACGCCGCCGCAGAGGATTGAACCACCACCACCAACAACAACGAGATTATTACGCCGATCAAAATTCTCTTTCCGATTGAAGAAAGAATCATAAAGGATTGATTCTTGTTCTCGTTTTCGCGTTTCTTTTTTGGGGAAGAAATTGAAAAACCTAACCCTAATTCTTCGATTGGATTTGAGAATTGAAATGAAACGTGATTTGAGATGTCTTTTGTTTTAACGTTTTTCGTTCATTTTTTAAGGATATTGAAAATTGAAATGAGAATTGAAAAAATTTGAGAAGCAGATTATGGAAAATGAAGAAAGAAAAAAAGAAAATGCGAAAAAACGAGAACAAGAAGATAATTTGAAGAGGATGTTACTGTGTTGCCCTTGGGCTTCTTAGAATTTACTATATTTGTTTCTCTCTATTATTGTCGGTTATTAAAAATACTAATGTGTTTTTGAAATTGTTTTAGATATTTTTTTACTTGTTTATTTATAGAATTTTTAAAATGTTACTATTTTTTTTAAAGGATCCTCAACTGGATTAATAATAATAAGAATTGGGCTTTGGCCCATTGTTTAATATAATAAGATTTTTCTCTTTAATAGTATTTTTGATTAAATAATGAGTCTTGCCATTACGGGATCTACTAATATAGTTTACAATTCATTTTTTGAAAAATCTAAGTGTTTTATGTATTCTATCTATCTGTTGTCCGACATTCGTACGGTCTTCATCCATCGTGTACGGCAGTTTATCTCGGTTCATTGATTTCCTCTTGAATCTGTGCGTCACTCTATGAATCGTGTTGATCAGAACTTCACAGTCATTCTGAATATAGATATTCTGGGCTAGAATGTCTCTGGCCAGATGGATAACATTCAGAACCGTTTGGCCTTCCGCCCCCCACGAGTTCTTGTATCCATGCTGGTTCCAGGTAGTTGTGGCAATATTATCGTTTATGTCGTTCTTGTACCAAACTCTCGTGTTCCATTCCCCATCAATAGCAAGATTCACATTGGTGTTGATTTTCACGTTCAGATCCTCTCAGGTTTGCATCTTACCTTTACCTCTATGATGTGTTTTGTGATTTTGCTCACCACTAATCGTACTGTTGTTTCCGGCTTCGCCGTTGCTTCAGTTCGTATCCCGGTGATACGGGTCACTCTCCTCGATTATTCTCTTATGTGAATGGCTGGTAAGGTCTTCATCTTTCTTCTTATGATAGCTGTTGGTTTCTGATCTTACCAGTTGACCAGAACCTAAAGTGGGCCAGAGACTTCGACTTCAATGCTGAAATGGAGGAGGAGGGGGTGTACATGCAAGGCACTCCGATGCTAAAGTCAATAGGAGTACAAAGAGATACAAGATAGAAAGTCTAGGATTTTAGAAGTATGTAATGAACATTGAATACATGACCCTCACATGTGTAAGGGTTTATATAATGCCTCTGACGCTTGACCATTGGTCTCTATTTTTGGGCCTAGATATGTGGGTCCTTAAAAATGGTAACTACTAGGACTTGATCAAAACGGGCAATCATGCTCGTAACTAGTCGTTGCATCGAGTAAGAATGAGATGATGGGCATAAGCGTTTATGAGTGTTTCCTGGTTTCCTACTCGACTCGTGTTGGGCAGACGTGGAGGAAGTTTCCGCTGCGGCAGATGCGTCTTGGACGTTCCCTGGTTATTTGCTCCACGCTTGTCAAGCAGACTTGGAGGTGGCCGATGTGGGCGGGCGTAAGGATGTCAGGAATTAGTCGTAACGGGTAGAGATGTTGTTCGTTACGATGGGAAGAGAAGTGTTCATGGGCAAGCGTGATTCTTACCATTCCTGGATCACTGTCCTTGTGTAGCTAGCAGGATGATGACTAGCCTGTTTGAGCAGGAAGTTGTGGTCTCGTTGATCCTAGGGGGACAGCCGGCCACGTGTCCCCGACTGATGGGTAGAAGTAGTTGAGGAGGGCAGCAGTGGTCCTGTTGGTCCTAGGGGGACAACCGGCCACATGTTCCCGACTGAGGGGAAGAAGTACTGTTGAGGGCAGATGTGGTCTCTTTGGTCCTTGGGGGGAAACCGACCATGTGTCCCCGGCTGAGGGGCATAAGTGTTGTTGAGAGTAGATGTGGTCTTTTTGGTCCTTGGGGGGAAACCGACCATGTGTCCCCGGCTGAGGGGTAGAAGGGAAAGGTGTCATTTGTCTGCTCCAATTGATTAGGCCAAAGTTGTTGAGCCATCTTAGATGTAGAAGTGGATTGGACCATGCCTAAGCATTTGGTCAGACCATAATTGTTTCCTTTATGACAATACCTTGATTATTGTTCTTCTTATTCATTTATTCATGTGTTTTCCCCATGTTGTGTCCATCTACTTCGTGTTATTGGTCTTGTTATTCTGGCTGGTGGTGGTTTTCGAAGACTCCCCTATATGCCATCTTCTGGTATTGGCTTCAGCTTCCTCACATTGGACTCGAGTTTAGTGCTCTTTTCCGTGTTGTTATCATTCTCGTAATTATTTGCTTTTTGCTCCCCTTTCCTATTATTTCCTTGCTTAAATTTGTTCTGGTTGTTATTGTTTCTTTCCTTGGTTTGCTGCTTCCATGTATCGCAGAGTTTACTGCTCAATTTAAGGATGCGAGTTACATTCAGATACTGCTCAAATTTACTTTTTGAAAGATTCGTTTGTGTGAAATGAAATCATTATGTTTTTATATTAATAATAAAATTTTAATATTATTGCTTTTTATATACTTTGCATCTACATAACTTTATCTTATCCTATCTTGAATGTTAAAAATGTTATCTATTTTCTTACATATACTTTGCATTTATATGACTTTTTTTATTAAATTTATTAACATATAAAAGTCTTATTAAATTTAAATTTTAAATCACAAAAAAAAAATCCTAAATTTTAAAATTTTAAATATCCATGCTTTCCTTTATTATCAATGTTGTTGATAAGTTTGATTTTAGTCGTGTTTTATGTAAATTTTCATGTTATTTTTGTAATTTTATCTATTTTTTTCACATTATTCGGTGTTATCTCAATAAAATGCAACAACACTAGTTCCATAATCTCATGAAATTTTTAGTAGTCAACTTTGAGGTTAAACACATTAAGGTTAGTCACTATTTTATTAGAGATCATGTTGAAAAAGGGGTTTCTTAATTGAGCATGTGTCTTCGTATAGTCAACTCATATATATTTTTACTAAACCTCTTCCTAAAGAAAATTTCTTTTTCATAAGTATTGAGTTAGGAATAGTGAATCAATCATGCATGGGTTAATATTTGCTAAATACTGATTCTTCTTCTTTTTTATCCTTTATCTATGTGGTCAATATGATCTATGTGCTTGCTTATATTTATTTTCTGCCTTTTTGATAATGCCAAAGCGGGATAAATATACTCTTAGGGGAGTAGGATGTATTCTCTATATTTATCATGGGTCCATCACCCTGGTTTTCTTGTTTTGTCCACCCTCCTAAAAGATGTGTTGTCATAATCAAAAAGAGGGAGAATATGGATTTATATGCTTACAGGTACAACAAATTGCAACTAATATGTTGATCATGGTGGTTTTGATGATGACTCTGGTGTTGGATGGAGTCTTGTTGCTTGATCCTTTGCTTGATCATGAAGGTGTTGTCGCCCGTGATATCTTTATGATTGTCTCTGATGATGTCGTTCATCATGAAGTCATCTCAAGCCTCATCGGAGATAAGATTCAAGGTTCTAGTGAAGTTCTAAATTCAAAGATAATATGGTAAGGAACTTGAAGCTTCAAATGCTGAAAGATATAAAGTGTGAAATTGCGCCTATTTGGTTGTGTGTTTAACATAGTGTCTTAGTTACTAGATTATTGTAAAATTGTTTGAGTCACTCATAAGTTAATTGCACAAGAAATTAATGAATAAGGACAATGAAGACCCTTATGCACTAATAGAGGAAATGGTGTGAAACCATTACGAATGGGGGTGCGAATGTGCCCCTGCTAAGAAAGCTCTCCAAAAGGAGGCTTATATAAAGTGTGTGTGTGTGTGTGTGTGTGTGTGTGTGTGTGTGTGTGTGTGTGTGTGTGTGTGTGTGTGTGTGTGTGAGAGAGAGAGAGAGAGAGAGAGAGAGAGAGAGAGAGAGAGAGAGTGTGTGTGTGTGTGTGTATGTGTGTGTGTTTGACCATATAAACGCTAAGGTAGATGTCTTATTTAAAATGTTTGATAATATGAGTGTTAACATTATATCCCATGCCTCCCCTAACATGTGAGATTTTTGGAGTAGTTGATTACTCTAGTAGTGCATGCTAGGTGATGTCCATAAGAGAAATTGGCCAAAAACTATTAAATATGTTAATGCTAACTAGAGTGAGAATCCTTATTCCAACACATATAACTCTGGATGGAGAGACCATCCAAAATTTTGCTATAAGAATAAATATACCCTACTAGACATGTGACCTTCTAGTTTTCAAGGACAAATGGGTGTCACTGCTCCCTGATGGAAATTTTCATTATAGCTCAAACTAGACAGATTGAGGAATTCAATAATCAAAACCTGCACAAAATTGAAGTCCTTATACAATTAACATCTAAATTAGAATCTATAGTTACCCATAACAAAATGTTAAAGACTCAAATATCCTAAGCGACTCAACAGTAAGCAGCATCATATGTCCCTCCCATAACATTTCCAGAATGGCCTAACTAAATCTGAGAGGTCATGTAAATGTTGTGATGCTGAGAATGGTAAGTGTAACACCCTAAATTTCACACGCGTCAAATTATAAAATAAATCAAGTGTGGATCACATATTCACATTTTAGATGTTCCTCATCATTAAAAACACATCTTCTATGACACATATTCAATTAAATAAAAAATTCACCTACACTTATCAGCGTATGCTCACCTTCACTTAGGGTATCATTGCAGCAAAATTTCATCACTAAGCATGCATCACATTAATTTAAATCTCATAAATTTACTTTACTTAAATTAAAACAGTTATGACATAAGTTTCCACGGTCAATAAAACTTAAAACATCGAGAGTATATCATCCAACTCTCTATTAAAAAAACATAATGATAAACTAAACAACGTTCGCCCCAC